TTTAATCATCACGCCAAAGCCAGAGTTGTAGGAAAAGACACAAATAATCAGAATGAGGGGTTTATTAAATACTGAACCCGGGGTTGTCCTCTCAGGCTTCAGTGGCCACTGGCGAAGCAAGGGCTGATGTTGATTGCGTACGGCCATGCCTAAGAGTCCCTAAGACAGTGGTAGCCGCTTCTGTAGGTTTGTGGGGCAATCTGAGCTGGTGCCCATCTGGTATGTTATGTTTTCTGAGGAGTGGTGTTTAAGTGGCTTACTTTGTGTCCGCAGGGGGGGGGGGGGTAGTGTGTTCAAGTGGCGCATGGGCAGCTGCGACGCTGTGGACGCATGTGCGTGCGAGTTAAAGTCGCTCGAGTGACCGCAGGTCAACGCGTTCGGAATCGCTCGCTGCGAAGGTGAGTGACCTTAACGCAGCAGGGCCATGAACAAGGACGCCAGACATGACAATGATGGCTGTCCGGAACAGATGCATTAAACTGATCAACCACATACCCAGTAGCATCGGAGCCATCAGTATCGTAAGTCATCCCACAATCTTCCTTCGGCAATGCCGTCACCATCATCACATTTTCCCTCTTCCGCACTAAAGCGGTTAGCAGTTAAGGTTCCACGAATCTTGTCCAGTCATTCCGATTCTGCGTCAGTCAATCAGTTTTCCGAACCATTATCCAATCGAAGCTCGCATAAAGTGCCGATATTAGACAGTCTAAATTAACGGGCATCATTTGAACCTAAGCTTGATAAGGTCATGGGGCTAGGCATCTATAAAATGATCTAAGGGATTACGCCGTACGACCAAAGTTGCACGAGGCATTACTATCATGCTCACCCGAACACTTCGGCGTGTGGTCTGTAGCGGGACGATGGTTAGTAGTGTGCCTCTAAGCGCTACGAGAGTACGCGCGTATTTTTCGACGATGTCCACCGTGTGCTCCACAACAGGCTGGGAACAAGGACGGTGACTTGCGCGCGAATTCGTTTGTAATGAAAGCGGACTTTCGCAGCATCTGTCGCACTCTCTGTTCCTTCATCAGTGTGGGCCGGGTGTCATGACGGAGTCAAGAAGACTGGAGGCGAGAGGGCGTTCAAGTGGCTGACAGGGTGAAAACCCGCACCTAGGCGTGCCAACATATTCCTCGGTCCACGACACACGCTGACCCGGATTTAACACAGCAAGAAAAAAAGGGGGCAGCTCCGACCACAACTGTCGCGGCAGGGCGACCCGCGCCTGAGCGTGCCGCCACACCTACAATGTTGGCATCTGTTATGAGTACGCATTCCCAATAACGCCTGCCGGACCCCGGCCTAGTCACTGTGTTGGTCAGCCCATTTACCGCTTGGTCCCTTTTAGGGGCACAGCCTCTAAACACTAGATAGGGAGTGGGCCGACCTGTTTGACTTTCAAAAACTATCTAGCGTCGTTTACCGGTGGTGTGGGTCACGTACTACAGCTGCCAGTCAGGTCTGATTGAAAGTATGGTTAGCTAACAAAATAATTAAATAACCTACAAATAGCGGCTTTCACTATCTCCGTGGGATTTGTCAGCCTAGTTCTAGGTAACTTTGCAAATATGCTTTTTCAATCGGATAATGTACGCCCGGCTAAGTGTTTCGCCACGTCCAAGGAATAATTTTTGGGCGAAAGTTGAAAACTTGGCAGTCAGCTCAATTTGACATCTTCCAAGCACGAATCCTTACTTTTCGCTCAAATTTGATGCAATATTTAACAAAATCTATGCAGGTATGTTGCTTTCGTTTTTTCGAGCCAGGCAAGTCCATCTTCGATACCTGTCAGAAGCGGTTATCTTATTTGAGCCCGTTTTCCGCACAAATTTTTCATTATTTGGAAAGAGACCAAAAGCACATGCCGCTCTGTTAGGCGAACCACGTGCATCCCCGACGAGAAAGACGTCAGAATTGACCGAAAAATTCATCGCGAGTTTCTTATTATGCTCGGGCGCGCCTTCCTGATGCGGAAATTAGCCACTCAATCCTGTCTCAGGGCGACCCCTAGCAAAACAAAAAACCTGCGGGTACTCGTCAGTATACCAAGTGGAGGCCACATTCTGAATTTCCTCAAGTTCTATATCGTGTTGCCTTTTTGATAGAGAAAACAACCGCGACTATTTCTGCTTCCGATATATTTCTGGTGTTCCGGGAGCAGTTCTTTTATTTTTGATCATCCTATGGACTGGACCTTGAGTAGGTGACCGTGCAAGTACATCAGCTTCTCAGCGCCGGAGCCAAGTGAGTGGGGAAGTTGCTGAAATGATCATCGTCAAAGTCCAGTCGGAATTGTGGGGTCAGAGAGACGCGGCGCCACTTTTCCTGGTGGGACAGCTCAAGCGGGAAACACCGAATCAGGCTTCTTGTGGAACAAAGGTGGTCGAATAGGAATTGTTTGAGGGTCGGGACATGCGAATCCGGTACCTACTTGAGCTGACAGCAGGTGATTTTTGACAGTTTTTCACTTCTGGGCAAGCTGCAGACACACTGCGCTTTTCAGTGACAGTTAAGAGGCGTCTCTTATGCAGGGCATCCAAGGCTTCGAAATATTGACTCTTAATTTTGGAAACCATCAGTTACTCTGTAGATTATTTTGGTCTCTCTTGGGTACCCCAACCGTGATTAGCGTTGTACAGAATTACTTATTGCATGTCCAACGTCCGTTTGGGTGGATGTTGGCGGAACTAGCTGAGGCACTGGCTTTTTCGCGCCTCCGCCTGAAGGGAACAAGACATCATCATAAGCAATCTTGAGACATTTATCTAAAACAAGAGCAAGTAGGCTGTTATGAGTGAAATCAAAAATTAAAAAATCTCACTACAACCCTACGTGTTTCATATGTGACATTTTTTAACATTTTAGGAAACGGACATGGAGGATATGCTGCCGGGAGCGATCAACACACGCACTCCAGAGGGGAAGCTAAAAAGTCCGCTCCATTTCAGGATGCCCAGATAGTATAAACAGTCGATCAGTCACTTGAAGGCGGTTGGGAAAGAAACTCTATGGTTGAAACAGAATTTCATCAACTTGACATGTTGAATTTACTCTCCAACCCATCACCAAAGACTGTAACAATCAAAGGTAATGGACGCACAGGGTGCGTACTATTTACTGGAGATATTCACGGAGTGTGGCGGTGTCGAGTCAGGAGACACTTTTCATGGTGCGTGACCTATCTCATGAAATGTTGCCTGAAATTCTGAAATGCGTTTTCGATTAGGAAGGGTTACTTGGTCGCGGTTGTGATACTGATTATCTTAAGGCATACTCTTATAATATTTTGGACTCGGCAGGATGTCGGCTTTTAAATGCACTTCTTTTCAATCTCCTGTAGAAAGCGTGCTTGGTAAAAAATGACTACTTAAGTAGCATGTATTTTTCCCATTGATTTTCGATGGTCTTGGATATTCAAATATATTTTATAGAAACCACAAACAAAAATATGCTTTATTTTAGTCAATCAATAGAGAATCACGTCTTCTTTATATTTTATACTTTAGAAAGGTGCATAATTAGGTTTTAAAAAAGGTTTCTAATTGCCGAAAAATTTGGATCCTGATCATTCGTTGCATTAGCTCTTAGTGATTACACTCTACAAGGTGCATGCGTTCCGCGTAAAGAAAGTTCCATATTTTTCTATGTCATTAAAGAGATATCATACAGGGTCCATAAAATTTTGCAATGGATGCGGATCATGTTGTACATTTCATGAGGAGCAGTGGTAAACGGCCGGGTACGATGCTATGTGAATGGACATATCGCGGTCATAAAAAGTGTCATAATTAGAAACTTTTTTAAAACCTAATTATGCTCCTTCCTTAAGTATAAAATATAAAGAAGACGTGATTCTCTATTGATTGACTAAAATAAAGCATATTTTTGTTTGTGGTTTCTATAAAATATATTTGAATATCCAAGACCATCGAAAATCAATGGGAAAAATACATGCTACTTAAGTAGTCATTTTTTACCAAGCACGCTTTCTACAGGAGATTGAAAAGAAGTGCATTTAAAAGCCGACATCCTGCCGAGTCCAAAATATTATAAGAGTATGCCTTAAGATAATCAGTATCACAACCGCGACCAAGTAACCCTTCCTAATCGAAAACGCATTTCAGAATTTCAGGCAACATTTCATGAGATAGGCCACGCACTGTAGGTCGCATCATGCAGGTGGTGAACGCTCCTCACCGTAATGACTTGACACCCAGCACTCATCTGTGGATCACTGACGCTAGGCAGAGCCTAGCTTAGGCCACATCCCAGTAACCGCCTCGACCAGCGGGCTAAACCAGATGAGGCTATCGAGTGTTGTGTGCGTCCCCAAACCCGGTAATTTAACTCCCACTCTCAATCCTTTCCCCAGCCTTCCCTCCCCCTCCCCCTCGCCTTCTCCTAGCCTTCAACTCTGAAAGCTCTACTGAGGGGACGACATCAAGCCCGTAGGCAGCCCGTCCTAACTCAGGCCGTTTTCCAACAAACAAAGCCGCGACCCATAATGGAGTCTGAGAGCTGTCTAGGATGTCCAAACAGTCCTATTTAGGAAGAATACTCATTCCCACCTCGCATAAAAAAGGGCTAGAAAAATTTCCCTAAACAGATGCTGGGAAACCATGCCATCTACTAGTATACCGTTGCTCGTAGATGAAAAACTCACGGTCGAAAAACAACAAAGAACAACAACCCTCATTCCACTGCCCTTTGTTCTACCCCATACGCTGCTAGGATGAGTCCGCTCACTCTTACTCCCTGGAATGTTCGTTCTCTTTTAGACAATCTGAAGAGAAACTGACCAGAACAGAAGACGGCGCTCCATAACTGACGCGCTACAAGGTGGAAATAGCGGTTCTCAGGGTTATCCAGTTCAGCGAGCAGGGTCAGGTGGAGGAGCTGAGTCCGACAAAACCTTCTTCTAGAGCGGCCGTCCAAAGTTAGAGTTGCGCGACGCGGGCTTCGCCCTTGCCATCCGGAACGATATCGTGAGACGAATGTCTTGTCTGCCCGAGGGCATCAAAAACAGACTAGTGAGCCTGCGCCTGCCTTTTCGGGGATCCAACTTTGCACCATCGTCGGCGTCCACGTCTCCTCTTCCAATGACCGGCTCCGACGCGGCGAATACCGAGTTCTACGAGGACCTACATGCCATCCTGTTGACTGTGTCGAAGGCGAACAAGCTGTTTGTCCTTGGCAAATTCAACGCCTGCGTCGAGACAGACCACGCTGCCTGGAGGGGGAGGACTGCTGGGTCCCCATGGAATCGGCGGCTGTAACGACAACGATCACATTTTTCTGAGAACCTGCGCAGAACACCGCCTCCTCCTCCTGACCAACATCGGCCGCCTTCCGACACGGAAGAAGACTACCTGGATGCACCTCCGATCGCGGCGCTGAATGCAGCTGAACTACGTTCTCGTCCAGGGGCGAGATCGACAGGACGTGGCGGTGACCAAGACTGTCTGCGACGTCCACGACTGGACGGATCACCGCCTCGTTATCTCCTAGGGCAGGATCCGACAGCAACCCCACAGGAGAACACATGGTCAGCAACCACCAGGTAAGTAAAATACTGCCCTGTTGAATTTGTCTTCCCACCGCTTACATTCCAGCAGTCAGTTAATCCAACACCTGGAAGAACTGCCAACTCCGGACGACAACGCTACCGTGGAGACCCGTCTGTGTCAACTGCGGAATGCTGTCCATTCCACTGCCTTGAGCGTGCTCGGACGTGCACTTCATCAACGACAGGGCTGGTTTGATGACAACGACGCAGACGACAGAAACCTGCTCGTTGAGGGGAACAAGCTGCGCAAAGCCTACACTGACCGTCGGACCGACGCAAAGAAGACGGCTTTCTTCTGAAATTGCCGTTTCGTGCAGCAACGACTGCGAGAGATGCATGATGCCTAGTTGGATCACAGGGTCGAGGAAATCCAAGAACATGCGGACTGCAATGAAAAAAGAACATTTTCGAACCAAATAAAGCGGTCTACGGTCCCAAAGGCAAAGGAATCGCCCCCGCTTCTCAGCTCCGACGGAACAACAATCCTGGCGACTAAATCGCAGATTCTGGAGCGCTAGGCCAAGCACTTCAGAAGTTTCCCCAACCGCCCATCCCCGATCTCCGACACCGACATCGACCGGCCCACCAAAGTGGAAACGAAAGACTACCTGGAACTCCCACCTTCCTGCCATAAAAAATCAGGACGAAGTTTGGTCCTGCAACCTCACCTGAGTGATATGATGTGGTTAGTTTTCCAAAAATGTTTGGTAGGTGTAAATACGCTGACTTGGCAAATATCACGTGTTTGCATCTTCCTTACCATTTTAATCCGGTGATTGACTGTGTCACGGGGCAGGCGGGAGAAGTGCTTATACGCCAGCCTCGGTTACTTCAGTCATCAGTTCGCACACGCTTCGCAACGCTGACTTCGAGTTCTGTTTGCGATCTCTTCATTATCCTAATTCAGCGAGTGGCCAAGTTGACTTGCTAATGGGATTGTTCCGACGGTGTGGTATTCCGTCGGTTTCACTACAGTGGCCAAGCACTTTGAATTACCACGCGGTTCCCTCGGTAGCCTTGCAGCTGTGATTGAGTCCTCCCCCCTATCCTCTCTATCTTGCAAATGGCTGTGTCCGGGGGGGAGAGTGTGTACACGCCACCTTCATTCACTCCCATGCGCATGCTTCGAGCTCTTTTTGCGCTCTCTTTCCCTTTCTAATCTAGCGGGTGAATAAGTTAGGTATGTTAACTAAAATTATTTTAGTAAGCTAACCCTATTGTATTAATCATTTGGGGCTGCAGAACCAAACCTCGCCAAAATCAGATCCGATTATCAACTCTTCAGCGGAAAAGCACAAGGATCCGGCGCGATCCCAACCGAAGTTTACACGTAGTGCGACGCCGGATGATGAACAAACTTACAGCACTATTTCAGGGGGTGTGGCTCCGAAGACAAGTTCCTCAGGATTTCAGGGATGCAATAGCCGTCCGTCTCTCAAAGCAGATAGGGGATCGGCAACTCTGTGATAACCTCAGAGAAATATCGCTGCTCAACATTGCCGGGGAGATCTTCGCTCTCACCCTCCCCAACCATCTCAACGGCCATCTAGAACACGGACTAATCCCGGAAAGCCAGTGTGGGTTCCGACAAAACTGCGGAGCTACCGATATCATCTTCGTCACTAACCAGCTGTGAGAGAGATGCCAGGAAATTTGAACCCATCAGTATACTAATTTCGTAGACCTGGCGAAACCCTCCCACACGTTGAGTCGGGATGGACTGTGGAAAATCATGCAGAAATTCGACTGTCCTGAACGATTAACGCATATGGTGCATTGGCTTCAGGACAGGATGGTGGCGCGTGTCACGGATAATTGGGTTATTTCAGAAGCATTCGCGGTGACGGAGTGAATCATGGCTGTGCTTTCGCTTCCATCCTCTCCAACATCATGTTTCTGCCATCGTACCCTGATTAGTGCCCCGGGATCCACATCGCCTGGAGGGCCGACGGCCATCTTCTCACTAGCTGGCGCATGCAGGGCTCAGCGCGTCTCTCCATGACTGCTGTCCATCAGCTGCTCTTTGCGGACGACTGCGCGACCAACACTGCGACAGAAGCCAACATTCAACTGGGCGTGGGTTTCTTCGCCTCCGGCTGCGACAACTTCAGGCTGATTGTCAGAGCGGAAAAAACGGTGGCCATGCACCAGCCACCGCCCAAAACTGTATAGGATATTCCTCACATCTACGTCAACAGCATGCAAGCCGTGGACAATTTTGCCTCTTTAGGCAGTACACTCTCACGTTGCACCAAAACTGATGACGGAGTGGTTTGCGGGATCTCGAAAGTCAGTCAGGCTTTCTGTCATCCACAGAACGGAGTATGGGGTCACCACGGTCTCCACCTCAACACCAAACTCCGGGTGTACAAATCTGTCATCTTGACGAAAATGCTCTATAGAGGAGAGATCCGGACAATCTACAAGAGACAAGCGAGGAAGTTGAATCAACTCCAGCTCAGTTGTCTACAGCGAACACTAAGGCTGAGGTCACAGGACAGGACCCCCAGACACGGAAATTTTGGAACGTACCGAAATCCTCAGCGTTCACGCCATACTGAGGCATTGCAACCACGACGAAGCGGCCACCTCGTGAGGATGTATGATGGGCGGCCACAAAACGACTCTTCTGTTGAGATGTCGACACGGGCGCTCGTCGTCAAGGCGGTCAAGTGTGCAGCTACAAGGATACCTTAAAGAATTTATTTAAACGATTACGAATCAACCCGAAGTATTGGGAAGACGTCGCACAGAACGGACCGGTCTGAGAAGAGCAGTAAAGACTGGAGCAGCAATTTGATTGTCCCTGACAAGGACAAAAGAGAAGCTCACGTTCCCCTGCTGCCTCTGGCCCTCAAAAACAACATTCAACCATTGCCAACACGCCTACGGAGTCAACGAGAATTCCGCGTACGGATTGGCCTCGTCGGACATCTCCGGACCCAATGCTCCAATAGTCGGACAAACCTAACTGTTGCCTTCCCGACCGCACCTGCTCCAATCTCCACGGCGTCCACAACGACGACCATTCTCACAACCGATGATCACAGCCCGGGTGTCCCGCCGGTGTCGATCAACACCATATTAATCATCCCAGCTATAACTTTCGCGGCGACGATGACCACCAGATCCCCAAATCCCGACACCGGTCAAAACGCTCCTGACGGCCGATCAGCTACTACCAGCCCCACCTGCATCGGTGTGGACTCTGTCCCAACCTGTCCTCAATACTGTCGCACATTCACCTCACGCATCGGCCTGGTAGGCAATTGCGAGTTCATCGCGCAGAGACTGGCGAAGCAGTGTCTGTAATGCCAACATACACTAGATTTCATCGCCTCAACTGCCCGCGTTGTCCTCGCGCGTTCATTCATCGCACACTCGGTCACATGTGTTTCCATGAGAACCTGCGGTAACTCATCGCAAATATGACCACATCAGCATGCATTCCCTCATTATCATCTCCCAAAATCCCACACAACCTGCACCTGCCACATAAGTGTGAAGTTTTCTCTTCGGTTCCTCCTCCATGCAGGTCTTCTGCTCCATGCGAGATCTGGGCGGCCTGAAATCCTGATGTGCGTACGGGAAGTCAGGTCGTGTGTGTGGCTCACGAGCTGTTCTCAGCTCTTTAATCCACATCTCTTAGTGCGAACATCGGTCGGTTGACCGGTTTCAGCAGTCTGCTAGTGAACAAGATAGGGTAAAGCGAGTGAGGTCGACTCTCGGCGCATGTTAATCACCATAAACAATCTGACGCGCCTGAGACCACCACGATGCGCCAAAAGCCATGGTTTTAGAGGCTTCCAAATGACTATTCAACACACAGCTCGCGGGCAGCCCAGTTGTGTGTTGAGTGGCTGACTGGTGGTCTGAGAGTCAGGCTGCAACGACACTTCCTCACACACGTGACGTTCGAGCAGTCTACCCTTTTTTGTGTGAAATTCCTGCGTGTGTGTTTGGGGGACCAGGTCCCGTATTTGGCGTGCGCAGACGCGGTCTATAGCTCTGCCAACCACTGCGCCCATTCTCCGCAGCAGACATCTGACCGGCTCAGACAGTATTTGCTGCCTAGAAATGGGAAGAGAGAGTGAGGCCGACGATTCACACACTTTCCTCGCTACAAACAATCTGACGCGCTTGAAGATACCACGGTGTGCTAAACGCCATGACCTGGGAGGTTGCCAACTGACGGAATAACCTAGACCTCCCAGTCGGCCCAGTGTGTTGGGTGAAGCAGTCACTGGTGGACCGGGAATCAGGCTGGGCAAGGTTTGGTCCTGCGACCCCACCTGAGTGATACCATGTGGTTAGATTTCCAAAAAATGTTTGGTAGATGTGAATACTCTGACTTGACAAATATCACGCGTTTGCATCTTCCTTACCATTTTAATCCAGCGAGTGACTGTGTCACGGGGGAGGGGGGAGGAGTGCTTATACGCCAGCCTCGGTTACTTCAGGCATCAATTCGCACACGCTTCGAGCCCTGTTTGCGTTCTCTTTATTATCCTAATCCAGCGAGTGGCCAAGTAGACTTGTTAATTGAATTGTTCCGACGGTGTGGTAGTCCGTCGGTTTCACTACAGTGGCCATGCACTGTGAATTATCATGCAGTTCCCTCGGTGGCCTTGCAGTTGTGATTGCGCCCTCCCCCTATCCTCTCTATC